CAGTCGTGCCCCAAATCGATGAGTCTAAAAAGGGCAACAAGCAATGGGAAAGTTGCGATGGAGTGAAATTCCCCAAAGACTTTTGCTGGCTTGCCGCTTAAAAAGTGCCATACCTGAATGATCTCCGCTAGCTTGCCCTGTTTCCGAAATATAGTTAATTTTTCTCAAATGCTGCTGCCCGTGGGCCACAGCTTTAGGATTAGTTCCGCAAGAACCTTTGCTAGCTCGCCTTTATCAACATGGAAAATTCTGCCTAGATTTTCCTCAGAGAATATCTGCTAGCTGGCCTGCTTTTAACCTTCCCCTCCGATTCGAGGTCAATCAGCCTTCACCGCTTTTCACGAGGTGAGCATCAGTCGAGAGAGATAAGGGAAAGAGAGAGCATGAGAGAGAGAGCCACAAAGCAGACATAATTTATGTCTGTCCGTTTGTCTGCCTGTCGTTTCTCTCTCTCTCTCTCTCTCTCTCTCTCTCTCGCGTCAGCTGCCCATTCCCCTCCATTTCCAGTGTATTTTAAGCGATCGAGTCGCAAAATAAAAAATTCTGCACGCCAGGCTCAAGATTCGATTTATACAGTGGCAGTTTTGATCGCGCAAAATTCCATCTTTTTACTTTTAAAGGCACAGGGAAGCCTCGTACTTCCGGGCAGGCTTGCTGGGATCATTTGGGAATTCTTTTGGAGGCGTTCAATTTATATTCCACATTTTTGCAGAGCTGGTATCAGCCGTTGTGGGGGTGACCTTTTTGGCGATCGCCCCCTCGGGGGCAAACTGATAAACCTTTCAAGCCAGTTTTGGGGGGCTTGTTTTTTGAAGGGTAGTGTCTCCTAAAGAATCTCGGCTAGCTTGCCTGGATATTCTATAGCCAGCTTTTCCTCAATGATCTCTGCTGGCTTGCCCAGAATTTTTCAAAAAATATCTGTTGGCTGGCCGGGCGGCTCTGGTGGAGTGTTTCCCCAATGGTCCCGGCTAGCTTGCCTTGCTGCGCTGGAGGTGGATATTCCTCAAAAACGCTGCTAGCATGCCCCAAAAATTTTCACAAATCTCTGTTAGCTTGTTCACCGTACTTTAGGATTCGTCCAGCTTTTCCTCAATGATTTCTGCTAGCTTGCCGGCCCAACATTGGATTTAAAACGTCAATATTCAGTTTTTTTTTAAATTTCCCAATGATTTCTGCCAGTTTTCCCTTGAAAAACGGTGGATCCCTAATTGTGACCAGTCCCCACAGTTCGTCGGGGTGTTCGCTGCCCGTAAAAAAATATCGATTTTGGGCGATTCAGTGGGATCTAATTAGCGATCGGGGGAGTCGACAATAAAATTAGGCGATTTCGGCCGTGTCTAGTTGTTCATAGTTCAGTCGCGTAGGAAGGTATCAATTGCGGAAATTCAGGACGACTAGCACAGATCTTTTAGGGGAACTGGGCCAGGAAGTAACGATTTTGCGGAAAATGGGGCTACCTAGCAGAGGTTCTTTACGGGAAATCAAGGGTAATTAAATATCACGGGTAATTGGAGAAGCTGGGCAGGCTAGCAGGGATCATTTAGGAATTCTACCATTGCTCTCTCTTTCTCTCTCTCTCTCTCTCTCTCTCTCTCTGTATCTCTCTCTCTGGTAAGCTAGCAGAGATCATTCGGGAAGACATAGTTTTTTGGGAGCTTTTTTAACATTTCGCTCGGCCTTTCCTAGTGGTTGTCTGGCCGGCAAGAAACTTGAACCCTTCCCCGAGGCTTTAAAAAGGACCCTGGAAAAGCCCCGGCCGTCAGATTGATGGGTGCAATTTTAGGGCCCGGGTGGATATCACCTTTGGTTTTAGCAAGATTAAAAGAATCGCTGGAGAATGGATCTTGTACTCTGTACTTTCAGTGGCTCTCTCTCGCTCTCTCTCTCTCTCCCTCTCTCCCTCTCACTGCCCGTATTTCTCTCTGTCTCCGCTGTCTCTCTCCCTATCTCCCTCTCTATCTCGCTCTCCCTCTCTCGCTCTCTCTCTCTCTCTCTCTCTCCCTCTCTAAATTAGGAAATGGTCTCTGGTTGGCTAGGCTACGAGGGCCCAATATTAGACAGCCTTCCCGACCCCTTTAATTGCCCTTTAGAGGCCCTCCTCGATATGGGCAGCGAGAGAGAGAGAGAGAGACAGAGAGAGACAGAGGATCGATGTGTTGTCTGCCTGCCACTTTCTTTCTCTGTCCTCTCTCTATCTCTCACTCTCTCTTCTCTTTCGGGGGTCATGCCCTAAGGGCCCAACCCTTCCCAACGGCCAGCCGCTAGAATTGCCCAAAAAATTCGGGGGTTTTCGAGGGTTTTTATTTAACGTAAGTTCCTAGATGATCTCTGCTAGCATGCCAAATTCCTGATGTTTGCTAAACCTCCCTTGAATTTCCTGAAGATCACTGCCAGTTTTAAATAAATTCTCTAAGAACCTCTGCTAGCTTTTCACAAATTCCTCAAAAATTTCTGCTCGGCTGTCTTGATTTCCTCAAGTATCTTTGCTAGCTTCTTTCGATTCGCAAGTAATCTCTGCTGGTTGTTTTTCTTTTCGAATTTTCGGATAAATTCCAGCAACCAATTACGCGATATTAATTGCTAGGGTTTATAAAATCTTTTTATTATCGTTATTGTTATTATTATTGATATTCAGATATCTATTGCTCCAGACGTTTCGGAACACACAAATATCGGTGTAAATATTCTGCCCTGTAGCCGGAGGGCAATAATATTGATATTGATGCCGTGTTCTCTCTCTCTCTCTCTCTCTCTCTCTCTCTCTCTTCCGATCTAATCGCAAAAGCGTCTCCTCCTCCCCTTTTTTCATTGGATAGCGTGTCCCATTCTCAGTCAGTCCCCCTCCTCCATCTCCTGAATAATGCCCTCCTCCCGAATGCATATTGGCCCTTTTCGGCCTTTTCGGGAATTTTTTAGAATTTTTGCTGGCCCCCGAATTTTTGCGGGTTTTTATGCGAATCGCCCTCTTTTGTTTTTGAGGGTTTTTCGTCATCACTTCAAAAATTCTCCAAAAAGGGGGTTTCTCCAAGAATCTCTGCTAGATTACCGATATTTCTAAAAAGAATCCACATTTTCAGTTGCTTTTAAAGAGTCCCTGTCAAATTATCGTGTTTAAATTTCTGCAAGAATCTCTGGTGTCTTACCTTCAGCCCACTTTCCCTAAAAATCTCTGCTATATTGCCTAAATTCCTAAAGGCTCTCTGCTAGCTTGCCTCACTTTCCCTAAAAATTCCGTATCTGGTTTGCATTCCTTAATGTACTTTCCTAGCTGACCTTTGTGCCTTTTTTGAATTTCCTAAAAGTTCTCTGCTAGGTTGCCTTGATTATGTTTCCCCTTGAGTCTTTCCTGTTCTACTTCTATTCCTCAAGAATCTCCGCTAACTTGCCTTATTCTGATTCCCGAAAAATGCGGCTAGCTTGCCTCACTGATTTTTAAAAAAAAATCTCTGCTAGCTTGCCGCCATATGATTTCTCAAAGAATCTCCGCTGTCTCGCTTTCTCCTTATTTCCACAATTATCTACGCTGGCGTGCCTTTTCTGATTTCCACAAGATTCTCTGCCAGCCTGCCCCCAAATCTATCTCCATTCATTCCAGGAAATGCGCCCCAAAGAGGACGCGGTGGCGCCATTAGTGTGTGATCATCCTGACGGGGATGCCGGGTGTTCCACATTCTCTCCACTTCCCGGTCCCTTTAATCCAAAGAAACACGGCTCGTTGCCCCTTCAAGAGACCGCCGATCGATTGATGCATCCTGGTAAGGGAAATCCTACCTGAAAAACCGTAATATTTCGATTTTAAAGAGACTGGCAAGTCTAAAAAGAGGATCGAAAATCGCATTTTAAAGGCATTCCCAAGTAAAAAAAATGCTATGTATGATTTTAAAGGCACCGGCATGTCTAAAAATATGCATGAAACCAATTTAAAGGGATGTTGAAGTCAAAAAGGCAAGGCAAAATTGCACAAAAATAGCGTTTTAAGCGGCCTAATCTTTCCCAAATGCTTAAAAATGGCATTTTAAAGGAGCAGAGAAGTGGAACAAGCTATACTTCCTTTAAAGGGTCCAACAAGTCAATTTTCAGGTCACAAAACGTCGATGCTGCTGGATTTCTGCCGTCAATTGTCGTTGTCGACAATTTTTCGGTTAATAGGCGAGGCAATCGGGGCCTACCCACTCGCATTTCTCATCTCTGCACTTATATTATGTTCTACTTCAGGTTAGTTGGGTTCCCTAAGGTTCACTGCTAGGCTGCCCGGTAGAGATTGGGGAATCCGCTCTTCGCACTCATTCATGCTTGTTTCTTGATCTCCTTGTTCTATTGCCTGAAAACAGGGAGTAAATGGAGTCAAAAACGGCGCTAGAGAACTGCAAAATCTGCTGTCCACGTCCCTTTAATTCTAACCTTTCAGTGGGCATGATTGAGCTCCACCTCAGAGATAACGTCCGGGATGGATTTACTCCCTCTACATCTCCTGCGAAAAGAGAAGCACAAATATACAAGGAATTCCTCAATGTTACAGGTAGAGAGAGAAAGAGAGAAAGAGAGAGAGAGAGAGAGAGAGAGAGAGAGAGAGAGAGAGAGAAAGAGAGAGAGAGAGAGAGAGAGGATCTATTGCTTTTCAGGAGATCCGATGACAACATCTGTATTGATGGTGGCCAGAGATGGAGGGTCTATGCATCGGGAAGGGCATTTGCTCGAAGCTAAAGATATTATACAGTGGATATGTGAGTTTTTCTGAGACAATTTGAATGATGTCGCCCTCCAATTCCTAAATAATCTCTGCGACCTTGCCTGAACTTTGCAAAAGAACTCTGCTAGCTTGTCCGGCTTTCGAAGAGTTGTCCTCTATACTTTCCATCGATATCCTCAATAACCCCCGCCAGCCTGCCGTCCGGATCTCTCCATTTTCAGCAAAAAATCTGACCGTCGAATACGGATCCGAATCGGTGGGCTATGACACGTTTTGTGGTTCATATTGCGATGCGAACTTGCCAACCCAAATGTTTATCGATTTTTCGGTGAAGAAGGGCAGGAATGAGACGTTGGATTATGATGTAGAGCTGACGTGAGTTGTTTGGAAGGGAGGGCGACATCGCGTGCTAATATATTTGCCTTCAACGTTCCTTTAAAGGGACCCTGAAGGCAGGGATATGGGTTTTACCGATATGCAACGCGCAAGAGCGTAATCAGTTACGCAGTGAAAAACTGACCTGGCGAATTTTTACCGAACCGCGGCCACGACACGCAATGCACCTCTCCGTCACCCTTTTCATAGCGTAATCAATTCGCTCAGGCGATGTGCGCGTTGCGCATTGCGTCGCGATTGCAAGAATAATGGATTGCGCTATATAAAGAAGCAATCTCGCGGCATTTCATTCGTAATTGAATGCGCTGTAACGCGTTGCGTGTCGCGGCGTGGCAGACTTTCTAGGGAATCCAGAGCCAAAAATCCGTGCGATTATACCTTTCCTGGCCCTTTAAAGTATCTATTCCCCTTTTTTAGATATCCTATCAGCCGCCTGATCACCTTTGACATCCCCATCCACTTGGAGAGAAGCTTTTTCGGGGTGGAAACATCCGGGGCTACTGTACCGAAGGGAGAGGTCTCGAATGTTCGACACATTAAGGTGAGGACTGCATCGTTACGGTAGCCGGGTCGAATTTTAGTTGGTGTTGGCCACATTTCTGGGAGAGCTTCGAGACGAGGGGGATGATGAGAGGATGGCTGCCTGGGAGATGGCCGTTTATCGATGGGCCGCCCAGAATCCATATCCACTGGTGGAAGTGCTGGTGAGCGGATTTTCACTTGGCAACGCCTTTAAAATGACGTAGCCAACGTGGTATTCAAAAACCAAAAAAATTACGCGGGCGAGATTCGAACCATGGTCTTTAGATTATAAGGCAAACTCCCTAACCATTAGGCCACAAAGACAATTGCGGCGAAATGGGGTAGGAGCTAAAAGAAACTGGCCGCCGGAATTTCTTGGCCTGATGAGCCCACCCCAGACCACCTCTCCCTGTGGTATAATGGTCCCGACGCGCCCCTCCCACCCGCAAGGCCCGGGTTCGACCCCCGCCCGCGGCTGCGATGAATCTTACTGGTGTCCAAAAACTGGTCCACCGGTACATACCATCGCTACAGTATCCCAGCTGACTATAACTGGAGTAGTGGGCCATCTGTCCTCTTCTTCTGCATGGTCATCTACATTTTAGGCTTTGATACATTTGAATTTTTATTACGACCAGGGTTGAAAAGCCGCTTCGCGACTTTTCAACCCTGGCCCAGTCTTCTCCAATGATATTCTTGGCTTTGCATAACTTTTCCCGGATTCGGATGACCAAAAATGAAAAATGCTCTTGTCGTCCCTTTATATAGGCTATCGCGACTTCCGGTGCATGCTAATTTGATCCTAACAAATTGGGGTGTCCGATTTTCCATGAAAAACTTAATTTTAATGTCGAAAACATCCTATTTTATAAAATCTGATATGTGTGCAGTCATCTCCAGGCCATTACGCACCTAATGACGTATCGAACGTACCCCTAAGTACTTCCCCTCTTGAGATACTACTGGAACACGGTGACGGAAGTTGCATGCAAATGCACACACACACACACACAGACACTATTTTTTTATATATAGTAGGATAAAAATTACATAGATATTTGCTAGATTATTTAATGCTTTCTGTTAGCTTATTAACAGAATATTTTATTTATACTTGTAAATTCAGGTATTATATCGTATTTTTTAGGTGATCGGCTCCGAGATCGTGGATGTGGAGATCAATCGCGAGGCTCAGCGGATGTCCCCCTATTTTGCCTACGGTTTCGGGGCAATGTTTCTGTTTGTCTGCTCTACCGTATACTTCTCGGCACTGTATTTTGATAGGTTAAATTGGTGAGTAAATGAAAAATTGGGCACGCTAGCAAGCACCCTTAAGGATTTAATGCCATTGATGCGCTAAAATGCGCTAAATTTTCTAAATTATAGCTGCTAGGCTATCTCGGCTTGAAGATTGGTTTCCTAAATAATCACTGCTTATTAGCCCGGACATGTTTCCGCAAAGTAACTCTGCCAGATGGCCTAGAGAACGAAAATAGATTACGCCATGTAATGTTGGTAAGGTTTTCCTAAAGAACATTGGCAATTTTGCGATAAAATCGAGCGAAAATACGTTAATTTCCGCAAGGATCTCTGCAAGACTGCCCTAGAATCGATCGCGAAACGATTACGGCATGTAATGTTTCGTTGCTGGATAATTTCCGCCAAGAATCTCTGCTAGCTAGCCGGCCGAACATCGAAAATCGATTGGGCTGCCTAATCTTGGCAGTTTCTCAAAGAATCCCTGCTAGACTGCTCTAAAATAATTCTATTGGCGCTTTAAAACCTTTAATTTTGTACAGTTTTTCCGAAAAGAATCCCCGCTAGCCTGCCCTCCCTTCGATAATCGTTTATTTTCAGGTGGACCGTAATCGTCGGCCTATGCTCAACCCTAGTGCCAGTTGTGGCAATTACATCAACTCTGGGTACTCTCTCACTTTTTGGATGTCCTATTAATCAATTACTGCTTATTATGCCGTTTCTCATCATGGGAATCGGTCAGTTGGAATAGTTACGGTAGTGGAATTGTGCATTTTAGGGGTGAATGACTCTTTTCTTACGGTACACGCATGGCTTCGACAATCAAATAATGAGAATATGCAGACGAGGATGGGAAGGGTAAGGAGGAGAGAGAGAGAGAGGAGAGAGAGAGAGAGAGAGAGAGAGAGAGAGAGAGAGAGAGAGAGAGAGAGAGAGAGAGAGAAAGGGGGGATGGAGAGAGAGAGAAAGACATCTATCGACAATAAACTTTTTTTTAGGTTTTTGAAGAAGTTGGGCCCTCCATAACCACGACTACGCTGACAAACGTTATTACGTTTCTTATCGGAGCCTTTACCCCGACCAGTGGTATGTAAATTGGAGCTTTTTGGAGCTTTAAAGGAGCGTGACAGTTGGTTTTTCCGGAATTCCTACGCGGCGTAACCGATGAAGCCGATTTTTACGCCTAAAAATTGAAAAATTTAAAATTTAAATAAAATTGTTGCACAAAAATCTACCGTAACATTTCAGAGATCTCAATCTTCTGCTTCGGCACAGCCCTCGCCCTTGGCATGGCGTATATTTACACATTAATACTATTTGGCCCAATTCTCTATTATTCCTCCCCGACTACGGTTGATAAGGAAGGGCCGCGTACTGTAGATGGGTGGAGACTTACGGTAGGTAGGCAAGCTAGCACCGATCCTTGAGGAAATGGGAATCTCCAGGCAAAAAAAGCAAAAAGCTTGCCGCAGGCGGGGGTCGAACCCGGGCCTTGTGGGTGGGAAGAGAAAGCTTAATCAATTGACCAGGGCCCGAAAATCCCAAAAAATCACTAACCAATTTAAAAATGATATTTAGCTGCGAAACTTCTTGAAATGCCTGGTGCGCGGGTATGCAAAAGTGATCAGCCATCCCGCCGTCGCTATCGTCTTGCTACTCGGGAGTCTAGGTACGATATTTCAGAAACTTAAGGTGTACTGTGGTGTACGGTAAAAATACTGTAAGGTATCGTATTTTAGTATATTGGTTCTTCGCGGTGAAGGGTACTGTAGGACTCGAGTCGAAACTCGACACCGGCAAAATCCTCCCAATTCACACCCCAATTCGACGCCCGAATCGATTGATGGAGGAGATTAGTACGTTTTTGTACTATTTACAAAATACCGTAATTTCTACAGTATGGCCGGAATACTATCCACTGACTGTCATCGTCAACAACCCGCCGGATATTCGAAAATCCTCACAACTCGCCAGGCTGATCAAGATGCATGAAGATTTTGAGAGGATGGAGCATAATCGCGGTAATTTTTCGGGGGTGGTAAAGGGTTTGGCAAGCTAGCTGGGATTCGTGAAGAAATTTGCATATCTTGGTCAAAAAGTAAGAAGTTGGCCGGGGCGGGGGTCGAACTCGTGCTTTGTGGGTAGGAGGCAAGAGCTTAACCAATCGGTTACAGGTGGTGTCTCGAAATTTGTTGTAACTGATAAAAAATTGCGGTATGATTGATATCTTGCAAGCTAGTCGGGATCCTTAAGGAAATTCGCCTCTCCTGGGCAAAAAGCAAAGCGTTTGTCGCGGTGGGGGTCGAACCCGGATATTGTGGGTGGGAGACTAGCACTCAACCAATTAACCATACTGCAGCCCGGCCGAAAATGTTTTTAATCATTTAGCTGGGTTTAATTTTTAAGTCCTATAATTTCTAGGCAAAATCTACACTCTCTCCTGGATTCGAGCGTACCAATCGTACTACGAGCAAGCGTCAATCTTCGATTTTGACGAAGAGTACGTGATTTTAAAGGGATTCGCAAGGCAAGGCCATTTTGTAGTCTTGAGGCCCGCGATTCTGGCTTGAGCTATGGGAAATTGGAGCCGTTCCTCAACGATACGCTACGTCGACAGTATCAATCGTTCGTCAAGCTAACGAATAGCAGGTTAGTCACATTAAATTCAATTATATATACGAATTTAGCGACCATATATAGAAAGTATATGATCCGTAATTAAATACACATTTAAATTCTAGTAAATTTGTTTAAAACCATATAAAAGTTATATAAAAAATCGTATTAATATCGTTAAGTTTTTAAGCACGAAAAATATGTACTGAAAGCTAGTAAAAGTATATAATTGGTTATATGTAACGTAATATTAAAGCTATTTTCATAAAATTAAATACAAAATAAATAAATGCATAAAATTTATGTAATTCTTTCTTTTTAAAATTTTATCTAGTTTTTTCAGCTCAAACCCGATCCAGCGTTTTTCGCTAGTTTTCGTCTTCGAAAAGCTCTCATCATGGGAAGAACGTATCAGATTGGTGGAGGAGTGGCGCGGAATTGTTAATAGGTATAGAATTTTAAGCTATAAAATTAATGATGAATTATTATAGTTATTCGGAGATGAACGCGACAATCTACGATGTAAATGCAATGTTTGTCGATCAGATTATTTCGCTGAAACCGTTGGCCATGCAGGTATCGAATTAAATGGGGATACGGATGTCATGAAATGTCCAAAGGAGCGTAGCGTAGCCTTCCAATCCTTTTCTATAACTTTAATTATATTTATAGTCGTTATTTCAGAGTGCAATGTGGACATTAATTTGTATGGTGGTTGTCTGCGCTCTCTTCATCCAGAATCCAGCCTCCGTCCTCCTTGCCTCACTCGCCATAGCTTCGATATCACTCGGAACTGTTGGGTGGGTATTTTTGCTAGTTGGGCTGGCTAGCAAGGACAATTTGTGGAAAATTGGCGAGGTCATAAAAGTTAGATCGTCTGGGTTAACCCGTCATTAGTGCACGATTTCGGATAAATGTCGCGATTTTCAAGTGATTTCCACTAGGGCAAGCTAGCAGAGGTAATTTGCGGAAACGTCTGATTACCATTAGCGCGAAACGTATGTTACCTGAACCTTACATTAATGCGAATTTACTGAACAATCACTTTGATCTAAATAAAGTTTTTCGCTTGGGCAAGCTAGCAGAGATCATTTGGGGAACGGAACGTAGCGTAGCCTAAGGTCTTCATTAATGCGCTTTAGATAAAGCTGTACATGCTTTTCTTATAATATGCCTATTACCAATTGCTTTTCCACCAGGGCAAGCTAGCAGAGAAGTTTGCGGAAACGGCCAACTCTGGCAGCACACCGATTACGGCATTTTGAGGACCGGGCAGAGACGCAGAGTTCTGTCTGCGTCTCTCCTCTGGGCGCGCCCTTTCTCTCCCTGCCGCGACGCACCCGACCGCGACGCTTCCACGAGTCGTGGAAAAAGGGGCTTGCTGCCAGACGCCCTTTAATGCGCCCTCACTCAACAATCCCTTTAATTGATAGTTTTTCACCAGGGCAAGCTAGCACAAACCATTTTTCACCACCTATTAATGCTCCCTTTCAGCTATCTCTCATTCTGGCATCTCGACCTGGATCCAGTTTCCCTTGGTGCAATTCTGATGAGTATCGGAATGTCCGTCGATTTCACTGCCCACACCACCTATCATTATCAGGTATTTTTTTATTTGTTGCTATTTCTACCGTACCCCTCCCGCCTCTTTCAGCTCCAATCGCACGTTGTCGAACGGAATGGGAAATCAGTGATTGTTCCGTTGCGGGACCCTGTGGATAAGCTGATGCATACGGTAGAGGCTATTGCCTGGCCAATGACACAGGCTGGCCTATCTACTGTCATCTGTATTTTGCCGTTGGTGTTGTTGCAGGTTCGTTCCGAAAAAGATGGTTTAAAGGGACGGTGACAGTTGGAAAAAGTTTTTTTTTTCGTTTGGTTTAAAGTTATTTTGCACCATTTTGGTTTTAAAGGGCCTGTGACAGCTGGAAAATATGTAACTTGATTTTAAAGGGGCAGCGACACCTAAAAAATCGTTTTTCTCGATCTAAAGGCACAATGACAGACCTTAACTTCTTCTTAAGGAACTGTGACACACAAAAAATTCGTTTTTTTTTAGTTTAAAAGCAGTGCGGCGCCAAAAAAAGCTTATTGACGATTTAAAAGCGCAGCGACACCACGGGAACCACGCTTTTCCATTTTAAGGGGACTGTGCCACCTCAAAAAACCGTATTTGGATTTGAAAGAGTTAGCGACACCTGCGACAGGCTTTAAAGGCGTAG